TGGTGGCAGCAGTGCCGGGGCCCAGCTGAGAAGGCAGCAGCTGAAGGCAAGCCAGCCCTGGCAGAAAAGCACCTCGAGGCGGACGTGGCAGGGCGGTGCTGTGCGGGGAGTGGAGGAATCTCGAGCCCCATGTTGCCCCCACACTTCTCATTGCAGGACCTGCCTCCCGAGCTGCTAGTGGAGATCTTCGCCTCGCTCCCCGGCACCGACCTGCCCAGCCTGGCCCAGGCCTGCACCAAATTCCACCACATCCTGCACATTGACAGCATCTGGAGACGGCGCTGCCGGGAGGAGTTTGGCGTTCCTGAAAGCTTGCCGAACCAGGTGAGGAGGGGTATGTCTTATCGAGAAGTCTATACGAAGCTGTTCCACCCATACAGACACATTTTGGGATTGTGGCAGCTAGATACTGAGGACTATAGAACACTGCTGAATGTCGTGGTGGACGGCTTATGCATTACTAGCTGGACGTGCTGGCCTCCCCTTAACACCGATGTGGATGGCCCAATGGAATTCGAGCCCTTGTTTAGAATTCGCCTGACGGAGTGGAAATTAGCCATGGTGGAGTACTACGTGGACACCTTCTACAGCTTTTCCCACAAATGCCACCTGCAGATTCAGAAGGACAGGTTTAGCCTCCAGTGGTTCAAGAGAGACCACCAAAAGGACAGGCTGCCGTATCACTGCCTGACCTACCGCCGCCTCCACCTCCCGCCGAGACACCCGGACGACCTCATCAGGCCAGGCCTCTTCCAAGGCAAATACGATGCCGGCGGCCCAACGATTGCCATGCTCAGCTTCCATGGGAAGTATGCCAGGTTCACAAAGGTCACGGGATTCCCCATCGCGACCTTACAAATCCACCTCATGCGCCGCATCCAGCCGCCAGATGGCGAGATCTTCCGCAACTTCAACGAGCTCTACCGCCTGGTCCAGGAGATTGACGAGCAGGTGATCCGGGAGCAGCAGCAGCAGCAAGAAGGGACTGAGGAAAGTGAGGGCCATGCCCAGCCCAGCGTCGGAGAGTCCGGGGCTGCAGCTTCGGAGGAGCAGCCTGTCCCGTTTGTTCTGCCTGTGGGCGTGCGCTCTATAGACCAGAACTACCCTGAAACCTGCAGGATGTGTTTCTATGGCGTGGATGACTTCGCCTACACCAGGCGCTGCCTTGCAGTCTTCATCCTGTTCGATGAGAACCACTTCGGGTTCATCTGGCTGGAGGCGAAAGAGTTCTTCCTGTTCGGCAGAGTCCAGAACACCTTCCAGAATGCGGAGGCACCATCCCCGCAGGCCTTCCTGGAGATGCTCAAGGACGTTCATTCGAACCTCCTGGAGAAGCAGCTTCGAAACATTTTGAAGAATTGACCTTCTGACCTGGTTACTTACCTTTGTTTTTTTTAATCCTCACCCGAGGATATTTTCCCATTGATGTTTAGAGAGAGTGGGGGAGAGAGGGAAAGACAGAAATAATCCATGTGAGAGAAACACATCGGTTGTTTGCCTCCTGCCCAAGCCCGGACCAGGGCCGGGGTGGGTAGGGGCCAGCAATTGAGGTAGAAATAAACCTTAGACCAGTGGTCTCAACCTTCCTAATGCTGCCACCCTTTAATACAGTTTCTCATGTTGTGGTGACCCCCAATTTCCATGTTACAAATTGAACATAATTAAAGCATAGTGATTAATCGCACAAAAAAAAATAAAGACATCTTAGTCAATATATATTGTTTATTTATTAACATTGAATTAATGGCCAATAGCAATAGAGCTCATTCCTTATGAAAGCTTATCTAACAGATGCATTATCTCCATAAAGCATAGCTAGTGCTTTGGCACTAAGGCTACGGGCTATTTTAAACAGCAGGGGCCACAGGCTCCTGGGATAGCGTCTTCAGAGACAAATGGGGACTGTTCTCATTCCTCACGGGGATCTGAAGAAAAGAAGGAACATGGGGGAAAGGCAGAAAGCAGCAGCTCCTCAGACTCCAGCAGTAGCGATGAAGATGCCAGCAGCTCCAGCTCATCTTCCTTGGGGACACCTCTGACTCACACTCCAACTGAGTTTTGTTCATTCCTAGGTGGCGGGACAGAGAACTTCCCAACAGAAGTCTTTGGCATCTATGTACATTGCAGGGCTCTTCTCCCTGTCCCTGTTTATTGCTTTACTTCCTTCCTTTGCCCTCCTCCTCCTCCTCAATACAGAGTAGGATGTGTTGGGAAGCAGGGAATTGGGACAGAACTCTCAATATTAGCTCCACACACCTGGGAAGAGAGGTTCCTGCTGGGAGAAGAAATATATCTGAGCCTGTTGTGAAGAAATAAGTTTTGCTTTCCTTATTTTCTGTCTGCCAGAGGTGGTCGGGGGCCACCATGAGCCTGTGACTCCTACATTCTCTGCAAGAACTCTACCTCTGGACTCTTATACTACATCTGGTGTGAGAAAGGAGTTGCCATTCTTTATGTGAGAGTCGGCAGCTTCATGTAGCAGGCAATATTTATACATGTATATTTAACTCTGACATCTCTGAGGCTTTATTACTAATTTCAAATAAAATTATATTTTCTAAGTTTAGTTATTAAATAAAAAGTGAGAACGAGGGCCTCCATGGAATAAATGTTTTATAATTTGGAGCACTGCTGCTCCAAGCAGTGTCTGCATTTGTTCTTGGAAAATCCTAAATTCCTTCCTTTTGCTCCAGGTTCAAGTGACTCTCCTATTTAGCTTTCAGGGTTGATGGATGTATGAGTGGATGTATGAATGAAGGGATAGATAGATAGATAGATAAGTAGATAGATAGGTAGATAGATAGATAGAAATATAAAGATAGCCTTGGCTGCTATCCTCAGTGTTTAGAGCATTGGCGTATACTCCAAAGGGTCTTGAGTTCAATTCCTGATCATGAGCACCTACCTGGGTAGCAGGTTTGATCCCTGCCCCCAGTTGGGGTGTGTTTGGGAGGCAACCAACTAATTTGTCTCTCACATAGGTTTCTCTCTCTCTAAAAAGCAATGGAAAAAATATCCTCAGGAGAGGATTAACAAAAAAAATAAGATATGTGGTTATATACATACATAGATACATAGAAAGATGTAGATGTGTAAATATACACTATTCTGTTCTACTGGTCTGCCTGTGAATTATTGTGGCAGTACCACATTGCTTTGATTACTTGGTTTGCAGATATATTTGAAAATCTATTTCATGTGAAATTAAATTAAATCCTTTCCCCCTGTATATTCCTGGCTATTTCCATATTGTGTTCTCATGAATATAAGCAAAATAAAATAATTGTATCATTTTTATATGAAAACCATTAAAAATGGAAAGAATTAAAAAATAATATATAAAAATGGAAAGAGAAATAAAAAGCTCCCCAAATAAGAAAAGGCTAAAGGAATTCCTTACCACCAGGCCAGTATTACTAAAAATGTTAAAGGGCCTTCTTTAAGAAAAGAAGGAATAAAAACCTGGCCAGGTAGCTCAGTTGGTTAAGGCGTTGTCTTGATACCCCAAAGTTGTGAGTTTGGTCTCTGGTCATAGCACATACAAGAATCAACCGATGAATGCATCAATAACTGGAACAACAAACCAATGTTTCTCTCTCTCTCTCTCTCCTTTTCTCTCTCTCTCTAAAATCAATCACTATTGTGAAGAAGAAAGATATTAAAAAGAATAAAAAGAAAGTAGATCATAGTTAAAAGAATAAAATGGAAATAAATATATACATATTAATAATCACTTTAAATGTAAATAGCTGAAATACTCTAATCAAAAGACAGGGTAGCTGCCAAAACCGGTTTGGCTCAGTGGATAGAGCGTCGGCCTGCGGACTGAAAGGTCCAGGGTTCGATTCCGGTCAAGGGCATGTACCTGGGTTGTGGGCACATCCCCAGTAGGAGATGTGCAGGAGGCAGCTGGTCGATGTTTCTCTCTCATCGATGTTTCTGACTATCTCTCTCCCTTCCTCTCTGTAAAAAATCAATAAAATATATTAAAAAAAAAGACAGGGTAGCTGAGTGGATAAAAAAATAAGACCCATATATACGCTGTCTATAAGGCATTGTAGTATAGTTTGATATCAGGTGACATGATTCCTCCAACTTTGTTCTTCTCTCTCAAGGTTGCTGTAGCTATTCAGAGTCTTTTGAGATTCCACAGAAATGTTTGGAATATTTGTTCTACTTCTGTGAAATATATCATTGATATATTGATAGAAATTGCATTGAATCTATAGATGGCTTTGGGGGAATATAGATATTTTAATGATGTTAATTTTTCCTATCCATGAACACAGTGTATGCTTCCATTTATTTGTGTCCTCTTCAGTGTATTATAATTTTCCAAGTATAGGTCTTCTACATCCTAGGTTACATTTATTCCTAGGTGTTTTTTATGACATTGTAAAGAAATTGTTTTCTTAGTTTCCCTTTATGATAATTCATTACTGATATATAAAAATGCAACTGATTTCTGTATATTCATTTTATATCCTGTTATTTTACTGAAGTTGTTTATCAGTTTTAGTAAGTAGCTTTTTGGTAGAATCTTTGGGGTTCTTGTGACAGCATGGATAGACCCAGAGAGTATTATGCTAAGTGTAATAAGCCAGTCTTAGAAAGATTACCATATGATTTCACTTATATGTGGAATTTAGTGAACAAAATAAACTAACAAACAAAATTGAAAAAAGACTCATAGATACAAAAAACAGACTGATAACTGTGAGAGGAGAAGGGGCCTAGGGAGATGGGTGAATAAAGTGAAAAGATTAAGCAAAAAAAAATTCCCCAAACCAACCAACAACCTCTCATAGATACAGACAGCAGTATGGTGATTATCAGAGAAAAAGGGTGTTGGGTGGAGGTAGAAGAGAGTAAAGGGACCATAAATGGAGATGGCAGGAGACTTGACCTTGGGTGATGAACACACAATACGATGTACATATGATGTATTATAGAATTGCACACCTAAAACCTATATGATTTTATTAACCAATGTCACATTCAATTAAAAAACAAATAGATTGGCAAATGTAGAAAAAAGAAGAACATGAATGGGAAGTTGGATGAAAAGGTCTTTTAGCATTAAACAGACAGGTTTGAATACCAGCTTTACCATTTATTATTTGGCAACTTTGGGTAAACAATCTAGACTCCTGACTTCCATTTCCCTATATATGAAGTGCAAATAATGATACCTATCTTGAAAGAATGTTGTGAGAATTATATATAACTAGAGGCCCACTGCACAAAATTTGTGCACAGGTGTGTGTGTCCCTCAGCCCAGCCTGCACCCTCTCCAATGTGGGACCCCTAGGGGATGTCCGACTGCCCATTCCCTCTCACAATCCAGGACTTCTGGCTCCCAACCGCTCACCTGCCTGCCTGCCTGATTGCCCCTAGCCACTCCCCTGCCAGCCTGATCGACGCCCAACTGCCCTCCCTTGCCAGGCTGGTCACTCCCAACTGCCCTACTCTGCAGGCCTGGTCTCCCCTAACTGCCCTCCCCTGCCAGTCTGATTGCCCCTAACTATCCTCCCCTGCAGGCCTGGTCGCCCCCAACTTCCCTCCTCTGCCAGCCCGATTGCCCCTAACTGCTCTCCCTTTCAGGCCTGGTCCCTCCCAACTGCCCTCCCCTGCTGGCCTGATTGCCTACAACTGCCCTCCCCTGCAGGCCATCTTGTGTCCACATGGGGATTGCCATCTTGTGTGTTGGACTGATGGTCAATTTGCATATTACTCTTGTATTAGCTAGGATGTTGGTGCAGAGTTTACTGGTCACAATTACTAGTAAGTTACTTAGTCTGAATATCACTTTCTGACCTTGTCAGGTAACAATGGCATGCTAGTAAATATTTATTTAGTGCCCACATGCTGGTATATTAACTAATATTTCTGTATATTAAAAATTGAATAAATTTCAAAGCTCAGGCCACACCAGGACCAATTAATTTGCAATCTCTGGGGTGGAAAGTAGGCATCAGGAGTTCTAGAAGCTCCCAGGTGATTCTAATGTGAAGCCAAGTTTGAGGATCACTTCTGTAGACATTTAGTCTAAAGCATGAAGACATCTGGGTAGTTGTAGCATTTTACATCAAGAAAATGTTACCTGAGGTTTAAAAATAAAAATGTCACAGTAGTTGAAGGAATAGCAGTTGCTTTGATTTTTTCCTGTGCTGAATAAGTTGCTATGAATGCCTTTTTAAAAATTAAATACAGGTATATTTTTATAACATATAACTTTGATAATGGTAATTTTTAGTTTCAGAAAACTGTGAGTAAGCAAGCCCTCAGGGTCTAGGGACCTTTGTGGCATGTGGCATTACTCTTTATTAAGGGAGAGGCGTATTTGCCATCTTGAGGCATAC